GTACTCCAGAATACCCACAGGGGTACACGTACCCCCACTTGAGAAGTTAAAGAGCTAAAACAGATAACATCATTAATATCAGAGAGGAGGTTGGTAAGTGTGTGGGCAGCAATGTGCTGCAATCAGGTAAAGTCTGTCTCCCATCCCTCCCTTAGCAAATACTTATCCCTGTATATGTGCTTAAACTCATAGATACGTACCCTTTCCCTGCATGCAGTACTCCCCTGCTACCCCTAGGAGAGCACCTATGCATACTCACTACTTGAGAAACAGTGACTTTGACAAGCATGCACCATAAACAATATTGGGCAGATGGTAGCCATTACAGTTCAGTGATGCCTCCACACGATAAAAAGATCACACACTAGGCTGGATCAAACGCTATGAGGGGATTATGATTAAAATTAGTCTGTAATTATTTTAATGAGGCCGTAAGCAAAGTGATTTTTTTTGGAAAACAATGCAAAAAACAAAAAGGAGAGTCTTAAAAAAGCCCAGATATAAATGACATTTCTGCTTTATAATATATTGAATAGGGCTCATTTTGGCAGTTGAAAAGCTATGAGAGGCATTTCTGGGTCAGCACAAAAAGTTCTGTACATTTTTAACAAATCATCACCTTTCACAGCCTCGTCTGAGTGAGAAAATGATGAGAGTCTGAGGTATGAGCTGCTGAAAAAAAGAGAAAATACATGTCTGAGAGGCTGTTTCTATTTAAACGCCCAACCCCCTGTCTCCCACCTCCACCCCGCCCTCCCGTTCCCCTTTCCCTTGCTCTCTCCCTTCTGCCGGAGGCCTTGTTAAATTGGCACAGATTCTGCCCCGCTCCCAACCAAAATCGCTGCCTAAGTGTTTCCACTCTGCTACCCCTAATGTGGCCTTACAGTAGCACAGCATACACTGAGGGGGTATGCACAGCAGAGGCAAGCTTCTCTCCATAGGTCTGCTGCCACTTGGGACGTGAAGATCAGCACAGACTTCAGCTTTCAGTGCGAGTACTGTTGCTTATTTACATCATTTCAAAGCTAATACATGAGGACTGAGGCTTAATCAGAACTGAGTGATCATATATTGTGAGTCACCCAGAGGGATACTCTGCAAAATTCTTATACTCCTCCTCACAAACAGAACAGCCTTTGTTTGTGAGGCTTTAGCCGAGCGGATGCGAGCGAGGCATTCTGCTGCACAAGTCAGAATGCCTCCTTCTTCCTGCTCGGTCTCAGAGGTGTTGAAAACTTCCCAAAGCACATTCCTCTCTGAGACAGACACAAGGAATAACAGTTGAGCAAGGAAAGAGGAATTCAGGGTTTAGCTCCTGGGGACGGAGTCATCTCTTTAAGTAAAAAAAAAAACAACAACATTCCAGCTGATGCAGAAAGTATGTGACAGACTCCAGTCAATTAAGTACAAATCAAAGACAAGTAGAACAAAGGATCCTAAATGCTTTCAGAAGTCTTAAAAGCATCTACTCTTACAGCAACTTCCCTGCAAAATGACCTTCTGGTTAAAGGTCACTCCTCAAACTTTATCGACACTATATTCACATGACCACAAAGTTCCCATCGCCGCAGACCAGAGTATACTGGGAAACCCACACAACCTCCACCCCAGACGAAATAGGCCGCTCGTATAAAATAGGAGTTGGCTTTGCACAGAGCATGAAAGTGGAGTCTTTTGGCAGGTCACTGCCATCTCTGACTTGTAAACAATATGGAGGGTATTTTTAGGGGACACTTGGCCTCAATTTGATACTCTGAAGTCCTTTGGTCTATTTTAGGTCTAGTGCCGCATGAATAAGAAGCATTCACACTGCTGTATTCATAATAAGGCACACAAACTAATGGAGGACAAGGTAAGCGGGTGAATGTGTTTGTGTCTAAGCCGTGTATGTGTGAGGGGGACAAAAAGCCAGTCTAGCAGAAGAATTTCCAGTGTTGAACTGAAAGCGGAAGACTGAATCTAGACAAAACAAAGACGCTGCTAAAAGCAAAGGAGAAAGGCCAAGGCTTACTGTAGGTCTGTAGGAGCATCTCAATGCACAAACTCAAAGGACCCGGTGAAACTCTGAAATAACCAAAGCATTAAATCTAGAACAGCGTGTTCATAAACACAGTGACAAAGGCAATTCTAAAAGGAAAAAAAGGAAAAACAAAATCACATATGTCCTTCACTTCTCTCAGAAGGGGGCATCGCATCTGATGGGAGAGTTTGGCTCTGTTCCTCTGTTCAAAAGAGTGTCGTTTTTTAAAACCGATTGCTGGGCAATTAGAATAAAAGCTTGACAAAAGCTTGGCCGTCATCAAAGAGGCAGTAAAAGGGGAAAGAGATGAGAGCCAGTCCAAAAAAAAGAGAAGAAAAGAAAAGAAAGAAGATAACTGCTGTTTATCAGATTGTTCCAAGATGAAATTCCCTTCAAACCATATCAAAAACAAAAAGAACAGACAGCTCATCAGCTACAGCAACATAAGAGGAGAAAAGGCAAATAGGCAATCACAGAACTCCCTGAGATACTCGTTACAGATAAAAATTTCCCATTAGCATTTTACATCCGTGGCATATACGGCTATATATTCCCCTGGTGACTCCACTGTCAACTTTATGTGCAACTGCAAATAAAATCTTCGATTTAAATCTATGGTTCGGCAGAGACACAGCAGACAGCACGCGCACACACACACACACAGAAAATACGATTGAATGCAAATTGCTTCTGAATGGAAATCAAATATAAAACTTATAACTTATTCTTCATCTGTGTTGTCTGTGGGCTAAAGTTTTGGAAAATGCTGTGAGGATGCTTTATAGTACACTGATACCAATCCAGAATCTAATCTACCACGGGCACCTACGTAGAGGCTTTGATGTTAGAGGAAAGCGTGGGTGGGCATGTCTTTGCGATTATGAAGTGGGCAGCATTGCATCACAGTTGGTTTGTGGCATTAGACGCATGATGCCCACAAAAGACTCACAGTGAGTTCTGGTGTCCTAAAACCTGCCCCCCCC